CGTTGTGACAAAAAAATGGAACGTTGAGACAAAAAAATGGAACGTTGAGACAATAAAATGGAACGTTGAGACAATAAAATGGAACGTTGAGACAAAAAAATGGAACGTTGTGACAAAAAAAATGGAACACTGAGCACGGTGGCTCAGCAGTTAGCGCTGCTGCCTCACAGCGCCAGGGACGCAGATTCGATTCCACCTTCGGGTGACTGTCCGCGTGGAGTTTGCACATTCTCCCCGTGTCTGTGTGGGTTTCCTCCGGGTGCTCCGGTTTCCTCCCACAGTCACAAAGATGTGCAGGCTAGGTGGATTGGCCATGCTAAATTGCCCATAGTGTTCAGGGATGTGTAGATTAGGGGGATGGGTCTGGGTGGGTTGGTGTGGACTTGTTCGACCGAAGGGCCTGTTTCCACACTGTAGGGATTCTATGATTCTATGGGAACATTGAGACAAACAATGGAATGTTGCTTGTCCTTTTCCTTCCTTTAGACCATGAGTTATGTCCCCTTCACGAGTTTCTTGGTAACAGACAGGACATGGTATGCTGCCAGTTTGTTGAAGTGATAATAAGGTGCTTTTTACGATCTTGCCTGATAAAAATTCCCATCTCTTTGAATTAACTGGGGAGGGAGCAGTGCATGTCTAATATTCTGGATTGTGATATTCTCAGGAGGATTTCCTTTCCTTCAGTCTGGGATTGAGCAAGGTGACCACTGTGCCTTCCAGCCAAAATGACCAGTATGGTGGGTTTTTTTTATGCAAAACAAGTCACTTTGTTTCCACCTGTGGCAGAGTCCAAAATCCGAGGCTATTAACATGGGCAAAGCCGCTATACTCAGAGAATGGTGTGGTTGTGGAGGGGATATCATAGTGTAGTGGTAATGCCACCAGACCAGTAATCCAGTAGGCCTAGGCTAATGCACTGGCAGCAGAGGTTCAAGTTCCACTATGGGATTTAAATTATTTTGTCAAAAGTTTGCAATTGTAATGCTAGTCTCAGTAAATTTGCACTAACTGTCATTAAAAAAACCCATCTTGCTCACCAAACCCGCTTAGGGAACGAAAAGTGCTATCTCAACTTGGTTCAGCCTACATGTGACTCCAGACCCAGAGCAATGTGGTTGATTCTCAACTGTCCCCTGAAACCAATTGGTAACTCCTCGAATTCAAGGACAATTAAGGGCAGGCAAAAACGTTGTACCCACATCCTGAGGTAGAATAACCTCTTTAACATCGGGAGCAGTTTGAGATAAATTGATGTAATTAAAGAGAAGTTTGACAAACATGGAGAGAGTAGAGGGATATTCTGATGAATTTACAAGAAGTAAACTGAGGAGGAGGATTCGTGCAGATACCACGAATAAGGTGTCTAGTTTTGTGCTGTACACAGTTTGTATTCTTTTGAATTTGGTGCAATAGGTACATAATCTGATCTATCTGGCACGGAAAACAGGAAATAAGAACAATCCTGCTTACCACTAATTCTTTGTTTCGATGTAGCGAAAGAATGAAAGATTTATAAAATTGGGCTGTTGAGTAATCTGATACTTTTGCAAAATGGTTTATGGCGCGTCACAAGATGAATGCACCTAACCACTTTGAACTAAAGTCTTATTGCATGGAAGCTATTCCATTACTGTGCCTAAAGCTGCCTAGCTCTTAAACTGATTAGATTTAAGAGGAGTGCAATGGTGCATTTAGAAGCAATTTCAAACCATTACCTTTGTACATCTTACAATGAAGGCCAAGTCTCCGCACTTACCGGAACCGGATGCCAAAGAAGCATGTCGTTCACATTCCCACTCTCCACGCCCGTTGCCTTTACAGGAACAGTGAAGGAGATTTCCCCTGTTGTCCCTCTTTGTCCAGTTATCTCCAAGTCTATAGGACATTCGAGTATCCTGGTCATTGCATTGGTCTGCAACAGGCAGCAGAAAGGAGTGATACAGGAACAATAGTCAACATGCTTCAGTTTATAAACAATAACGTTTTAATTTCTACAACATCTTTCACTCAGTAAAACCTCTCAGGCACTTCAGAGACTAAATGAGTTACTTCAGGAGTCACTAGAATACTGCCAAAAACGTCCCTTTCCTCTCCACACCTCCCAAACTTACATCCGTCTCCCCTGGAACTTCGTGTTTGAATCCCTTGAATTAGCTTTGCCACAGCACTGAAATTGCTCTATCAAAATTACAGATGACAAGCGTAAACATTCCCTTCCCTACCCATCTGCAACCTTTTGACAGTTCAATGCATCGTCCTCCCCCACTATGATGCAGCTGGATGAGGCTGCTCACCTGGGTCAATTCTAATCCATTCGGTTCAGTAGCTGGAGAATATCTGTCATGGCTTCTCTCCCTGCTCACACACTGATGTCCCACAAGAATCGATCCTTGGTCTTTTCTCTCAAGGCCCTACTTCCCATCCACCCATTGTCTCTCAACAACACTCTCCAAAATGCACACAGTACTGACACCACCCAGCTGTAACTCATGGCCATCTCTTGCCTCCTCCACTGTCTCTGATGTCACATCCAGTACTGGAGGAGCCCAAATTTCCTCCGACTCAATACTGGGAAGATTCCAGCCATTGTGTTCAGTCTCTCTGAACGTCCACAACCTCGGTGCTGTATTTGACTCTGAGATGAGCTTTCAATCATTTTCCTACACTATTTCCACCTCTGTAACCTTCCCCAGTGCATTCCTGTTTGGTGGGTGATACATTAGCACAGAGAGGTTATTGGCTAACTAACAACAAACAGGGAGTGGGACGATTGGGTCATTTTCGGCTTGGCAGATGAGAAAATAAACAGGACACTTTCAAGTTGGCAGACTCAGACTAGTAGAGAATCACAGGAATCAGTGCTGAAGTCTCAGCTATTTCAGCTATTTAAAATCTATACTCAATGTGGAAGCAGGCATACAAATTACAGAAGGGTGGGAAAAGGAGGAATAAGGTTGATTTAGCAACTAAACGGGGGGGATTTATGCACACGGACATAGGGCATGGCTGAGGTATCAAATGAACACTTTGCATCAGCCTTTACTGAAAAAAGATGCTAATCTGGCCATAGTGACAGAGGACAGGGTTATAAATTAAAAAGGACGTTTTTGATGATGCACCACAATTGACATATAAAGGGGGAAATTAGAATGGAAATCGCAGAGGTGCTGGTGATAATACTTCAGTCTTCCTTTGACACAGGCACTGTGTCAGAAGACTGGAAAGTTGGAAATGTTATACCCTTGCTTCAAGAAGGAAGTGGAAAAGTTAAGACCAAGAATTATAGACACGTTAGTTTGTCTTCAGTTGTGGAGAAATAACTAGAAATAATCATTCAAGATAAAATCTAGCATTGTATGGCAAATTAAAGGAAACCGGTCTGGATTTCACAGGGGAAAGATCACATTTCAGTGATTTGTTGGAATTTTTTGAAAAAGTAGCATAAAGGCTTGATGAGCATAATGTTGTTAATTTGGTATACATGGACTTCCGAAAGGCATATTATTTACAGTGACACAGCAGGGGTCAATGTTAGGATCCTTGCTTTTCCTGATACATATTAATGAGATAGATCTTGGTGTGCAGGACACGATTTCAAAGTTTATGGATCATACAAAACTTGGAAGCAGTATACACTCTGAGGAGTTAGACTAGAAAGGGCACTGACAAGTTAGCGGAATGGACAGACAGATGGCAAATGCAAACAGGTTAGACTAAAACTGTGTCAGATAATTCATCTTAAGTTGAAATATTGTGTACGGTTCTGGGGCCTCACTTTGGGAAGGGCATGACTGCATCAGAGAGCGTGGAAAAGAAATTCACAAGCCCCTAAGATAAGGGACTTCAATTATGAAAATACGTTGGAGAGGTTCTGGCTGTTTTTCTCAGAGTCAGAGAAGGTTGGGAGAGTTCTCATAGTATATTTAACGTCTGGACAGAATAGAGAGAGAGAAACTGCTCCAGCTGCTGAAAAGATCGAGAATAAAAGGGCACAGATTTCAGGTGGTTGGCGACATGACTTGAGGAAAACTTTTATCAGTGATTAGTTAAGGCCTGGAATGTACTGCTTGAGTGTGTGGTGGGCGGAGAGGAGTATTTGTGTGTGTGTGTGAATAAGTGTCAGTGTGTATGTGCATGTGTAAAGGTTGTAGGTTGGGGCAGCAGTTTCAGTGTGTCGTTGGGGTGAGGACAATTTGAGCTTGGGAGGGGCAGTTTGTGCAATGGGGGCAGGTTGAGTGTGTGTGTGTGTGTGTGTGTGTGTGTCGGTGAGTGAGGGGATGGAGGTAGTGGTCAGTTTAAACAAGACACTCAAAAGTGAGTTAGACTGTCCTCCAAAAGGAATGGTGTGCAAAGTTTGGGGGAGGGGGCGGAAGAAACACACTAAGAGGGATCTGAGAGTCCTTGAGCACGAATCCCAAGCATGTAGGTAGAGCGAGTGATTAGGAGAGAAAATAGGCTGTTGGCCTTTACTCTAAGGGAGATGCAGTATAAGGAGGTCTTACTGTGCCTCTACAGAGCATTGGTCAGAACACACCTACAGGACTGTGTCCAGATTTATTCTCGTTCTCGCACCTTCCCCAAGGAGGGATATACTGCATTGAAGGCAGTTCAGAGAAGGTTCACTGGGTTGGGTCCTGGGATGAAGGGATTCTCTTACGAGAAGATGTTGGAACAGGCTAAGCCTAGACTCACTGAAGTTTAGAGGAATGCGAGGTGATCTCATTGAAACTTATACAGTTCAGCAGGCGCTTGACCTAGGCGCAGGGAATCGAGAAGCAAGGGGCACAGACAGGAAATAGGGAGGAACTTCTTCCCTCAGAGGGTTGCTGACTTTTGGAATACTCTTCCCCAGAATAATGGAGGCAGAATCATTAAATGCACTCAAGGTTGAATTTGACTGATGTTTGCTGGGAGAGGAGTCGAAGGTTATGGAGGGCGGGGTCAAGCAAGAATGTGGCCTCGAGCCTATGATTAGATCAGCCGTGGTCTTACCGAGTGACAGGTTGGCTAAATGGCCTACTCCAGTTCCTCTTTCTTACGTTCTTTCACTCATCTGCTAATGAAATCCTTGCCCATGCCCTCCTTACCTCCAGGTTTGTCTATTTCCACACGCTCTGCCACATTCTATCCTCCATGACTCTCAGGCTGTCCGAAGCTCTACCTCAAACCCAGTCTGGTTCAGAGTCAGCCCTGTGCTCACTGAGAGACGGGGACTCCCAGTAACGTGTCACCTTGACTTTAACCTTCTAACCCTGGTTATCAAACCCTCTGTGGGCTTGCCTATCCCTATCTCTCATCATGGCCTGCAGCTCTACCACTGAGGTATCTCCAAGAAGGGGACATGCCCTTCTCTCCTGAACCAAAGAGTAGAATGAAGCCCATTCGGTCTAGCCTGTTTGGCCGTCCAAGGACTTTTATCTCATCGTAGAATCCTTACAGTGTGGAAGCAGGCAATTCGACCCATCCAGTCCACACTCACTCTCTGAAGAGCATCCCATCCCCATCCTATCCTATTCCCGTAACCGTGCATTTCCCATGGCTAACCCACATAAGCCTGCACATCCCTGGACACCACGGGGCAATTTAGCATGGCCAATCCACCCTAACCTGCACATCTTTGGACTGTGGGAGGAAACCCATGTTGCAAGAATTTGCAAACTCCACACAGACAGTCGCCCCAGGGTGAAATCGAACCTGGGTCCCTGGCGCTGTGAGGCAGCAGTGCTAACCACTGAGCCACCGTGCTTATCCCAGCTGATCTGTAACTGAATTCCATCAACCCACCTTTTTTCCCCATCAAGTACGAAACTATTGACCTTGTATCCTAATCACCCCAAATCTGAAAGGCTTTTCAAAAAAGAGTGAAAAGTTAGTGCAATTCCAGACTCATCCACCTGAGGCAATCGTTTCGAGTCCTTCAATGTGGTAAAACGCCCTAATTAGGCGGGTTGGACTGGTTCAACAGTTCTGATATTAAAAAAAATTCAATCACAACACGATAAGGTCACCTTCAAAAGATAAAAGCTGAACCTACTCCGTGAGGTGCAGGTGATCCGTCCACTGCCTTCTCCTAGGCATGTGCACTCCATCATCATCCAGCCCTGGTATGGCCTTTCCCAGGTCTCGCCAACATCATGGGTTGTGCCTGCCACATTGTCGTAGCACCTCTCCGCTGTGCAAACACAAAGAGTGGGATTAGGTTCTGAGGCACGTCACCTTTTCACCTGGTTAGCTCCCCTTTGTTTCCTCTGGTCGCAGCGCCTGAGCTGTGTGGGTGACCTTAGGTGGGGAATGCCAACTGGCTATGCAAGACAGGGAGTGGTGGAATCAGCCCCACCAATCCTGCCCTCAACCACTGGCCGCTCGCTTGCTCTTTCTAGCGATCAGACACCAACGACGGTCACCTTTTGCAACTCCCCAGAGATTGAAACCAGCTCTGTCTTTACCTGAGCTGAGATCAGCAGACAGCATCAACTGAAAGCAAGGTCGAGAGGCTCAAATGATGCAGCAGTGATTGACTGAGTTACTGCATCGTGACCCTGCTCCTTATCAAGCTTCAATCTCTCCACGGATTCAATGTTTTCATTTTTGGCTTTTGTGGGAAGACAACAAGCGAAAGAATATTGCCCCATTCACAACCCGAACATTTCCTGCAGCGTGAACACTGTCAAAACACAGGAAGAAACTGTCCAAGATCCCACGAGCAGAATGTTGGCCGAGGGATAGGCAGTGGCCAAATCACAAGGTGAGCTCAAGTCAAGTCTCCTGTTCCACCTGTGCTGGAGGATCTTTTGTATTCACCTGAGGGGGCAGCCGAGGTCTTAGCTGAATGTCTCATCTGAAAGAAAGCACTTCTAACAGTGCGCCCCTCCCTTAGTCATGCACTGGAGTGTCATCCGCAGTTATGTATTCACAGCTGTCCAGTGGAGCTTGGTTTGAGAAGGCTACCCTGAGACACAGCTGACATGCCATGGTTCAGCCATCAGGGCGAAACAGCATTTCACCAACTAACTCAAACTTCAGAAATACACTGAGAACTGAATTAATATTCAAAAGCACATGTCCCATCCTGGGACAAACAGGTTCAGTCAGTGAGCCTGAGCTCTACTCCACTGGGCAGTTTTGACTGTCACATGACCTCCAGTGACTACTGACTCTCACATGACCACCTGGTCCCCAGAGGACAGTGTCAACTATCACATGACCCCCAGGGGACAGTGTTGACTGTCACATGGCCTTCATTAGACAGTGTAAATCATCGCATGGCCACTAGTCCTGTGACCACTGGGTCTCCAATGGTTAGCGGTGACTGTCACATGACCAACAGGTCGCCAATGGACAGGGTTGACTGTCACATGACCAATGACTACCAGGCTTCCAACGAATAGAATTGACTGTTACATGAACACTTAGCCTTCACAGACAGTGTTATCCATTACATGACCACCGGGCTTCCAGTTGACAATGTTGAGTGTCACATGGCCTCCAGGGGACAGTGTTGACTGTCACATGACCACACTCTGGCCTTCAATGGACAGTCTTGAACATCAACAATATTAACAGTCAACTGTCCTTCATTGGAGCCTACAGGGTTATCTGGCTTCTACTGGACAATGTCAATCATATGTTCCCAAGGACAATGTGGTCCAGCAGATAGCCAAGGTGACCTGAAGGTTTTGCATTCCCACATTTTGAGAGCACCAGCCCATTCCAATCCACCCTCACTCTTTGCCAATGCAGTAAAAACTTCCAAACCCAGTCTGACCTCAGTGCATCAGTCTGGCTGTAAGTAATTTGATAGAGCTCTTGTAAAAGCTTTGCAAAATTGTCAGCCAGTCGTTTTGAACCAAATGTACACATATTGGTTTTAATTTTGCAACAGAATGATCTACCTATTGGCTTGCAGGTCCATTCGCCTTTCCCATTTCCAAGGCAAACACACTCCAACATGTGGCCACCTGTCTCATGAGGTCTTCGCCAGGTATCCCCAATCTTATAGGACTGACCACCCTCATGGCAGCGATCTGTGGAACATAAGAGGACAGCAAAAATTAGGATTGTTTCAAACTGCCCTAGATTTCAGTTCAGGATTTGATCAACTCCTCCATGGCAGGGGCCAACAATTCAGAATGAATGCTCCAATCAATGCAGCGTGTGTGCAGGGTTTGATGTTGCCCACACCTGTCCCTTCACACTGACAACAAGGCCGCTCCAATGAGGCTGTTAAGGCAGTTGGACCATGTGCAATAAACTGGATTAGACTGGGAACCATCAGCTTCAACCAGCCGGCAAACATCAGTGTGAAAGGGCAATGGAGGAACCCTGGGAAGGTCCTAGAGGGGAGGTCCTGATGGATCAAAGGAGTCTGGAGGAGGGAATTGGAGGAGTCTGCAGGGAGAATAAATTGGAAGAGTCTGGAGTGGGGGAATTGAAGGAGGGGGAACTTAGGGGAGTCTGGAGGGAGGGAATTGGAGGAGTCTCGAGGGGAGGAATTGGAAGATTCATGGGGGAAGTTGGAGGAGTCTGGGGAGTGAATTGGAGGAGCCTCAAAGGGGGTAGGAATTGGAAGAGGCTGGAGAGGGGAATCGGAGGAGTCTGGAAGTGGAGCAGATGGGAGGAGTTTCGAAGGAGGCAAATTGGAGGAGTCTCAAAGGGGGCGAATTGGAGAAGTCTGGATGGGGGAGAAATTGAAGGAGTCTGGGCTAGAATTGGAGGAGTTTGGAGTGGGTAAATTGGAAGAATCTCGAGGTGTAGGGAATCCAGGAGAGATTGGTGAGGAAATTGAGGGGGTTGGTTGTTATAATGGGGTGGGGGAGTAATCCAGAGGAATTGGGGAGTTGTGGGAGACATCCAGGAGATTGAGGGTGTAACAGCCCAGGATGGGAGGGGACATCCTAGAATAGATGTTACTTCTGAAGGGGGATGGGATTCGTAAAAGGACAGAAGGGAGAAGTGTTGACAAGAGGAGAAAGGAATGAGTTTATCTAATCAGGAACAGGACTGGGATTTGTAACAGGAAGGGGCTCACTGTAAACAAACACCCAGATGAAAACTTCCTTAATTGGGCAGGGACTTGCGCCAGATCATCTGAAAGATCAGAGTTGAGCAGCGCCCGTCATGCCTTAGAAAAGGCAGACTGCAGCACATTTCCCCTTTCTGAAACAGATACCCCTTCACCATGCTGGTAACAAGACAGAAAACAAGGCAAAAACTCCCCAGGGCACTGGAATAGAGATCAGAGCACCAAAAGCACTGAGATGAATAACTATTTAAGAGGGGTTTTGATAAGCAGGAGCTCAGCATAGATGCACTCCCTGGCCATTCACCCCAATTCACTTGATCGCCCACAATGCCCCACACCCATCCTCCTTACTTGCAATGGTACAGCTGATCCTCCCTCTGCCAGCTCCAATACAGGTACAGTCCCAGATCATGCCATCCTTCGGGCGTTCCCAGGTGTCGCCGACACGTTGCCTGGTCCCAGTGTACTGGTCGTAGCACATCTCCTCGACTGCATAAATGAATCGAAACACATGTCAAGGATCGCCAGGGAGATCCTTTCAGTTTTGAAATGACTGTCTTGTCCACTGAACCCCAGCCCACCTCCGACTGCACTCGAGGGGTATAACGCCAGTCTCAACTGGTGAGCCTGGCCTCTGAGTGCCACCTATGGAGTCCTGTTTGACATCCAGCAATCAGGCTGTGCTGAAGGGAGATATGCAAGATCTGGCCTCTTACTGTGTGAGGGCACAGAATGCAGAAATCAAAAATGAAAGCGCTTGCAGCTACACAGCACCTTTCACAATTCCAGAACATTTCGCCGTGCTTTGACAGCCAATGAGGTGCAGTCACTACTGTATTTTAGGAGGTGCAGCACCGTTGGTGATGTGATGGATTATTACCTAACATCGGTACTGTACAGTAATGCTAGAACACACTGAGACCGTTCACTTCTATTGCAATGCACTTGACTGTAATATAATTAGACAGCGCTAGTGTTGATACACATGGAACAACACATTGAGGCTGCTGTGAAGCGCTGGGTTAATATGCTGATCTTGTAACATACTGGGTCACTTTGCGAGTACTGTAATAAACTGTGTTAATATGCTGATGCTGTAACACACTGGGTTAATGCACTGATGATGTAACACACTGCGTTAATATGCTGACACTGTCACATACTGGGTTAATATACCGATGCTGTAACACACTGGGTTAAAATGCTGACACTGTAACACACTGGGTTAATTCGCCAATACCGAACTACACATTAGTTAATACGCTGATAGCCTAGCTATAAAACACCTACTTTTCGACCTCTGGATTGGGGACTGTGTACAGTTTGGAGATAGTGATAGATGCAAAGTTTCATTATTAAGAATGCAGTGCCACTGGCTCCTTAACTGTTAACTTACCATCCGGCTTCGATTCACAATTCCAACCTCGCCCTGCCCCATAACAGGTACAGATCATCACACGGCCCATGTATGTACGCTCCCATTGCTGGTTGACGTGGTAAACCTTCCCATTGTCTAAACAATAATCTGAACAGGGGAGAGAGAGAAAGCACACACACATCAATTAAATAATTCCCAAAAGACCAGATGCATTACAAGACTAATATCACTCAGCATCTGTGGATGGAAAGATTATGTCTCAAATCTGAACTCTCAACTCATAGAACACTAACTCATCTTGAGAGGGGGAGAGAGAGAGACAGGCAGAGTTAATCATAGGTATTTCAGAGGATCTTTATCAATTCTGGGGAAGGGTCATTCACCCTTAAATAACAGGCTGCATTTTCCCAACAAAGAAATACTCAGGAGCCAAGGGCAATTACATAAGTCACGAGCCCATTCACTAGCATGATGCAGCTTAATTTTACAGGATATGGCATTGCCCTGTTTGTCTCTTCAAAGTGAACCCAGCAGATGCAGCTCTTGGTCTTCTGACCTCCTGCTGAGCGCTCACTCACCTTCTGAGAGCCGGAAAGACGCCGAGAAAGTGCAGGTAGTAAAGTGACCCCGACAAAGTGGCCCCAG